CGCGAATTTTGACGAGAGAAAAAAAACAAAACCGAAAAAAAAATGAATTTTTAAAAAAAACGAGAAAAAAAAAACAAGACGAATCTGAGCCTCGAGTTCCCGGCCGGTGCGCCAAGATGTTTCGGTGGTATGGTTCGGGTAACTCAAGGCTAGACTTGGCTTGGTTTTATCGTGGTGTATTCTCTCGTTAAGTTCCAGGGGTGGCCCCACACGCACCTTACAGTTAATCGGTCTGGACGCGACTGCCGCGCCGTCCCCTCCAGCGGGCCGATGCGAGCCAGTGCCTCGGCTGCTCTTCCCTGTCGCTCCGCATCGGAACCGCTGGAAGGGTTTTCTATTAGCGTCAGCAATACGGGGCGTCGCGGCGGGCTCACGCCGATTGCCAGTCGCGGGGGCCCGCAACAGGGCCCGCCATAAAGATTATTACAGCAGACGACGGACAGCTGTATTAACTACTTCAGCTGAAGGATAGCTCAAAGGACACCTGTGAGTTTAACTCTTTATTTTGGTAAAGTATAATCCTGGCTAGTGCCTGGGACTTTGTGGAAGTGCGTTAAATGGCTTCTTCAAATCAACCCATGTTGAGGGGGCACAAGAGCTGGGTAATTTTGTTTGTTGATTGCGATGCTTAGCTTTCGTCGGCCCCGTGGTGGAGTTTTCTTGTTTCGCAATGAAATTGATTCAGTTTCGTGCTTTTCGTTCTTTAGTCTACGCCGACTACGTCTGATGGTTTGTTTTCACAGTGACGTTGCAACTTAACAAGCAACCGCTTGAAGTCGCACACGACCGAGATAATGAGGCCATCTTGCCATAACCGAAACAGCTCACTTCGCGCCACGCTACACTTGAACTTTGAAAGCTCGCCTGTCTCCGCACCGCTTATGTCAGCACACTACGTCGTAGAGCATCGCTCTGCACTTGACGTACTTCTGGGAAGTTAGAACGACCACAAACCAAATGCTTGGGAACTTTCAGTACATAAGTATGTATGTGCATTGCAAGGTTGCACAAATTTGTTCATAAATCAGATATAATTTTATAAACACCTAAGCATAATGCGGAAATACTGTCCCAATTGTTGAAATTAATCTGTCCATAGCTTTCGTACACATCTGTTCGTAGTGTGGGCAATGAAGATACCCGCTAACATATTGTGCAGGCTAAAAGAAATGAAACCCCGAAGTTCACAGAGGGTACTCATCTAACCTTGCTGCGAATTGATGTCAAATTTTACGTGGTGTCTCTTAGAGAAAGCAGCCGAAACGGTTGATATTTAAAAAATAACAGGAGTCCAGAGAAACGCTTGACGTTCAGAAATCGTGCCCTAACCCAGCGGCAAAACGACTCTATATTATTTTAAAACAAAACTAAATGGCCAAATTTTTTAACATCCTTATCTCTATCTCTATCGAAAATTAATGAAAAGTTTACAAAAACAAGTGAAGTTAATACCAAAATTCAAGGAAAAATTGGCTGCAATGCATTAAAATTCATCCAATATTCATGTTAAATTCAATTTGTACTCTGAAACCCATGTTTATTTAAGTACCCTTCCCAGCCGTGGAAGCATTGAAAGTGGATTTGTCTAGAGCCACGCGAAAGATCTAATCACGTCATGTCACGCGCACGCCGCCGTGGTGGGGAGGGAAATCTGATAGAGCCGCGCTGAGTGTCTTCTGCCTGAAGTGGGGCCGGAAGCAGAGGGGCAGCTCCCGCATTAAATTCCCAACTGCGAGGGCGTCCCCGCCAACACCCCTCAAAACAAAAACAAATATTAAAAAATACACTTACGGTCCCTGTGTTTTAAAGAAGTTTGCATGGACGCATAGCGTTACACTGTGAGAACTCGGCACATACATTGGCAAGATAACGTGCCACAAAATTGGTACTGTTTTTACTTTTACTCGCGATACTAGTACTTGGCTTTCGGGGCATTCCACGTCAAACCATCACGGCCCATAACGTACTTACTCAGATCCGGCTCCCAATTTTTTTCTATCACAGCCTACCACCCAACGATCACTCCTTTAAATTTTTTGGGAAAAAAAATCAAAACTTAAGCCGTGGTGATTTTGTTTTTTTTAATTTTCAATAAAATTTTAAAACTTTTTTTAAGTTTTTTAAAAAAAGGCGCTCAAATTGGTTGGAAGCAGTAAATGGCAACATAATACAGTGAGAAGCCAGTCAGGGACCCCCAGCCTTTGCCAAGGAGAACGTTTTTGACTAAAAATAACGTTTTTTTTAAATTCCTAAAATACGCCATCTTACTTTTGCCGCTTCGCACATGGACTAGTGCCGATCAATTTCTCCTCAAATGGAGTGAGGAAAAATACCTCTTGTAGTTGGACCAAGGCGTCGTTGGCCGGTCTCAATGCGTAAATTTACCCCCGAAATCTTTTACAGTGAGTGGCGACAGCAAAATTTTACCAGGAAGATCTTAACATTGCTGAAATCATAATGGATGATGTGAAACAAAAGATACTGCGCGAAATTGAAGTTCTCTTTAAATAAAAATACCGATGCGCGACGCTTTCAGAAGTGAGTGGCGACAGCAAAATTTTACCAGGGAGATCTTAACATTGCTAAAATCATAATGGATGATGTGAAACAAAAGATACTGCGCGAAATTGAAATTCTCTGTAAATAAAAATACCGATGCGCGACGCTTTCAGAAGTCCGCTGAGAAACTAGGTGTGTACTCAGCAAACACTTACGCCCTCTTTTAGAGTACTGAGTACACACACTTGAGTGCTCTGTGTGTGTTTTAGTTTTAGTTTAAGTTTTTAGTGGGCAATGTGGCAACCGAGGAATGTGGCTTGGTTTTGTTCCGCCCTGGCAAACATTTATGCGTAGCGCCTTACGTGAAGCGTAAACCCCGTCTAGAAGCGTTCAAGAGATCATGCGCTTGTTCCGTCCTTTCTGATATGTACATGAGGGAGGGAGTGCGTATACGCTTCAACACTAATCACTAAATAGAAACATGTCCAAAATTCCATTCCGAATCTTAAGCTTCTTCTCGAACTATATCTGCTATTGAATATAGCAATTTCCCATAACTGTACTGTACATATTCTCATAACACCTCTGAACCTGCCTACACACTAAACTTCTTACGGATACATCCTATCTGTATTACGGACATTTTTGTGCAATTGCAATTACGGATAGATTTTGCTTGTAATACGGATGAAATCATCCGTATTACAAAGAGTTTTACGTCCGTAACATACAGACGAAAATATCCGAATGGTACGGACGTAAAACTCTTTGTAATACGGATGATTTCATCCGTATTACAAGCAAAATCTATCCGTAATTGCAATTGCACAAAAATGTCCGTAATACAGATAGGATGTATCCGTAAGAAGTTTAGTGTGTACATCTGAATACGAGTCTG